TTTTCAGAATCTTTCACACTTTGCTCGACATAATGTTCAAATGTTGAGAATATTAAAGTATTTATTGTGTTAATATAACAACTATACCCTTAGTTCTTATAATTGTTACAAATTGTTTTTAAAATATTCAAAGCGTTCCAAATTTTTTAAGTCATTTTCCGCGAGGTAAACTTGTCAGGCAGGCGAGAAGACTGAAATTTATTGTTTGGAGTTTAAAAAATTAGAAAAGTGTAAATCAAAGGCATCTTTGAAACATACTGAACAAAAGAAAGTCGTTACTACACAATAGAACATGCTATGAGTTACCGAACAAAAGAACTATGAATTACTACAAACAAGATGATTGACATATCCAACCGCATCTCTATATTTAAATTAAGGAACATCGAAGTCGACTAAGTCGCGGAAATGTTCACGATGATCTAATAATTATCGTCTGTTCATTACCATACGCTTGGTATTCGTATCACGCGTTCGTGCCAATTTCCGATCGTTACCGCTTTTTCTCGATAATTTGTCGTAGGTAGCGAGTAGCAACGACACGCATGAATTATCGCGATGTTTATTCCCGATGCTTTCTCGTACTAAGCACGAGAAAAGTACGGAAGAGTTATATTATTGCACTTATACACGCTCGTGTTGGATTACCATAAGTATGAGTTGCAACGGGTATGCATGGCTCGACGCTCATTTGCGCGTAACAGCATTCTACCGTGTATAATCTTATTCAGAGTTTAAGGTTAATTGGCGTAGCCTCGCGCACTTATTTACATCCGCGCAAATCACAAATCATCGGGCCAGAATTATCGATCGTAAATTACTTCGTACATCGTACTCCAGTCGGATCCCCGTTCCGCTAACACGAAATGATAATACTGTTCCCCTTCGGTCTTCGTAAAACGAACGTTTTTATGTCCTTATCCATTCAGCTCTCGCTGAATGACCGAGTCCCGAACGTCTTAATTTCCCATTTAAAAATGGACAACGCGCAACACCTCTCGTAAATTCCGATACTTTATAACAAATATACAATTTCAACAGGAAGTTGAACTCGAACTAGTGAGATCGTTACGAATAAGATTCTTAATTTCATCCCCTCGACTAAAGGTCAGTCGAGAAGAAATTTTTCCGAAAGTTTCCAGCTCTCAAATCTGTTACTCTAACTTCTGCTAACGGCTAACCATGACCACAATGTAGCACGTCGGAACGAAACTCGCTCGAACTGGAGCAAGACGAAATCGAATCCGCTCTCAGCGTGTCGGGTAATATTCATTTCACACCGGATTGCCAACTGCATTATTATGCATTAAATACGACAGGCGAGCACGGTCTGTGGGAAATAACAATGCGCTTGACTACGTGCACAAAGCCTCGCTACATATATAAAACAAATTTCAGAGGGGACACACAAGACACTCGTAAGCTCTGCGTGAACGTATTACGCGGACTTTTGAAATTTCGTTAGCACCACGGTGTGACTTGACTGTCGTTAATTACGTTGGCAAACATTGAAACAAGTTTGAAAAGACAAGATATTTAGTGGAGGCCATAAAAGTATTTAAACGATCAATTATCTTCTCATTATCCATGCTTAACATAAGTATATCTAATTATTTAATGAATAAGTATTTAACTAATACGACAGTCGCGTCTCGTTACAATGTTAACGAAATTTCAAAATATTTGTTGGAACTAGAACTGCGAATATTTATATCGATTTAAGTGAGTGTTATAGATACATGTTACTTCATATAATTTTATGCATTTTCGTAGTTTCAAAATTCTCTAGAAACTTCCCTAGAAGATTTTTATTTTCACAAGCCAGAGTAAAAATCATGGATGCGTAATGTATGTGTTTGTGTGATAAATGATGAGATGCGCGACAGATCGTCACGGCGATGCGTCACGAGGCGTGGATCGGCCGATTCGTCCCGCGTGTGTGTTTATTATTGCCAACGGAAATAAAAATAATGCGAGTACGTGGCTGCCTACATGACATCAGCCGACCAATCGATCCGTTTTGCACGATGATGCATGAAGTGCGTCGGATGAATACCGCGCGAGAGGTACCGAGGCCTCATCATTTGGGTGCGGGTGCTACGAACTGTGGCTCCGTTGACATTCTCGCCTGCAATTAACCACCCCGATACACTTTGCGCTCGATCGACCACATTCATTTTCCCGATAACTGCGCGAACATGAGTCCGCTGATATCGGGAACGGAAAACTTTGACGATCGACGATATTTAAGTCGAAATTGTGAAACTCTGATTAATTGAACTCATTGAAGAGGGATGGGGGAGGCAGAACACTCCAAAGTGAAAAGTGGAATTTGTTGATTTTAGTCGGACTAAGATTTTTTTTTGCTAACACACGTTCAGACAAGTGGATCGATAAAAACTTAATTAATACAGTCGTTAATTAAAATTTCGTTTCGACGAAAGGAGGCCTACTCCGAGAGGTGCACTATCGAGAATTTACGAGAGTTACGTTGAAACTCCGATTAATTGAACTCGTCGAGCGACGAGAATGTTTCGTGAAAGTAGAATTCGCAGATTTTAGTCAGACTGCCTAAGAATTTTTCTCGATAAACAGTCAGATACGTGGATTCGATCGGTAGAAGTTTATATTTTACACGCCAATTAAACTTCGTTTCAACAACATAGGTATGCTGTGACTGCTCGAATGATATGCAAAAATATTCAAAGTTGAGCGCTCATTATAACATTGACCAGGTTAAATAAGTCTTTGCTAAGATTCTGTGTCATTCGAGTAATCATACGGCGACTTTGCAAATCGTAGGTTCACGAGCTATAAAATTCTGACTGAAATCTAAATGAAGTTTATGTTTACTTCTAGCGACACTCTATTAAATATATCCAGAACCTTTTGTCCGCGCAGCGTGGAAAATTTCCAGTCACATTGTAAATTGTTCGCTAACCAGTGAACGAGTTCGTGCTCATAACTCTCGGACACTCTGTACGCCGGTACGTAATTACAATAATCAAACCACGCTCGACGGTCGTCAAATGCGAAATTGCTTCTTGTCAGTCGTACTATAACGTTCCGGCTCCCTCAACTTGTCAGTGATAAAACCGCGAAATACGACTGGAAACGCAAATAGAATCGGATCCGCCGGCAAGTGTCCGTACGAGCGGCCCCAACGTTAGCGTAACTCGGTCTAAATTGCCTTTATTATTAACATTCATTCATTCCCCTCGAGATTGCTAGCTCGTTGCCGGCCAATAAATTTTTCAAAACGATCGCGCGAAACGTTTCAACGGCGTAACGTAAACGTAAATTCGATCGGCAACGCGTGTTAAACGTCGATTGCAATCACGAGGAACACCTACGAATTCGTCTGTCGTTTATTGTAAATGCACTCTGCGTCTCGATGTGACATCAGCGTGTTACGCTTCGCGAGTGAACATTTTCAAGCGCGATGTATCGATATAAGGTTGAGTATCGTGACTGGCCGAGCACGTTAACGATCGAGCGTGTTCACTCGCATTCCACTGAAGCTCCATGGCGATGAAGTTCACCGAAATCGTTTCTGTGCATGTGCCTTAACTCATTTGTTCCTACTAGAACGAATATGCATTTTACTATTTGTAGGTTGACTTTAATATGTGCTTTGTTAATATATGCTCTATGACATTCGTTGTTACACGTGACGTATTTCTAGCATCTAGATTACCTATTTTCTCCTTCAATTTTTTGTATCAAAATATATTTTTTTAATTCGTTCGTTTATGACAGCTCAAAGTTTTCGCGTCTCTTCGAGCTCTTTGTTATCGATGATTTAAAAATATAAGTTGTTAAAATAGGAGTAAAGGTAGCATCGTAAACGTCGATGCTTGATTTGGAACTTATCGATGCACCTATGATTTTACGGCGTATAGTTATCGAGGAGAATTCTGCAGCAGCCGGTCGGTTCCGTTAGGTATGCCTAGATCTCCTAAGCTGTCCACCACGGTCTATTCTCGCAGCCGAAGGGAAACGTATCGTCAATACGATCTTTGAAACGGCTCGCAGCGTTTCTGGCCCACGTTAAACCATTTCGTTTAACCATTTTACGTCTATGTTTAGACCCGGTCCAACTGACGTTGATAAACCGGGTCGAATTCGAACGCTTCCGCAATATTTATCGTCGGTCCGATGGTGATTCTCTTCGCCATTACAGCGGGCGATGAATGTTATGAATGAATTTACAACATCGTCTTCCTCGATTCATACTCTGGCTGTCTTCGGCTTTTCGTCGATTCGAAACGATCTGGCTGATTTACTTGCACGTGGCTCGAGAATTTAACCAAGTTCCATTAACTAACTCCTCTTCTCGCGATAATCTCGCGGCTTCGTATCCACCGGCGACTTATTCAGGACGATTCTGTTAACAATTGCCGACCGCCAGTTTCGCAGAATTCGCACATCAATTTAGCCGGACGTTACAGCTCCGCGAGGATTGAATAAATTTGCATTAACGAGGTTCGCAGGTGGGGCCGCCGAGATACCAGATTTAGATGGACCAATAGCAAATTGAGATTAGCCGCCGGTTTAGAAACGAGCGTGATTCACGCCGTGACGTTTCGTTTGTTGCGTCAAAAAGTCAGACACGCATTCGCATAACTTAGCCAGCCAGTTTCACGTTTCGTTCGCCGGATAGAGATATATGTTCCGTGGTGTTGGACGGCTGACAAGTGTCTCGGATCGTTTGGATACGTTTAATCAGATTTCGAAGACAAATGGATTTTGACTGCGTGTAGAAGAAATTCCATTATCTTGTTACAGTTTCGTTATCTTATTTTCGTATCTTCGATTTCAGATCGATTTCGTTACCTTGCCTCCTGCCGCGTAATTTCTAACTTCCGCTCTTGTCCCTTGGTGAATACCCGTCGCATCACGATATAAACTCGATAAGATTTAATTACTAAACTCTAAAGATTTAATTAAAAACTCTTCGAAAAATTTGATTTTGAAAACGCATATTCGAAATATTCAGGGATGCCTCATTCACTTTCACGACGACTCCTTTGTTCGCAGATGTGGCAATTAAGGTTTTGGATGTACCTTCTGCTCATAGCGTTGTCGTTGGCGCCGGTGCAACGGGTCGCGGCTTGCAGTTGCATGAGCAGCCATCCTCAAAAACTGTTCTGCAATTCAGACTTCGGTAAGAGTTGCTGCGAAATTCGATTAAATGCCTGTACATTGTAAATACCGTTTTCTTCTCTTTCCTACGTACGTAGTCGTTCTCGTAAGAGTGAAGAAAGTAACGAACGTGAACGAGCATCAAA